TACATGGAAAATAATGACGGAAACTCTCCAAACTCTCATCAATTTATTTTTCTCGTGAAGTTTATTTCTGTATTTTCTTCATCAAAACATTCTTTCACACAAATTTTCCAGCATTTATGACGTTGAAAACGTATTATCTCTCATATTTTAGAAACTTCGTTGTATAAAGTTTTGTTTTAAAATTGCCTCAACTCCCAAGCTCTAGGTATTCAACGGCATTTTTGGTCACTTCGAATTTTCTGATCGTCATCAGCTCAGCTAGCAACATCATCATTTACTTCCTGCTAGGTTTGTTTTACTGTCTGTTGGTTTTTTTAGACTGTCTGTCTGTCTGGATTTGTTTCTTTGTTCGTACGTTCACTACCTTGTTTAATTGTTCGTAAGGTGTTTGGGTGTATCTATATCTATCCTACATATCATCTACATAGATAATGTACATCATCATCAACTAAACCATCATCACCATCATCACCAATTAAACCACCATCATCATCAAATAAACCACCATCATCACCAATTAAACCAGGATCATCACCAATTAAACCAGGATCATCACCAATTAAACCACCATCATCATCAAATAAACCACCATCATCACCAATTAAACCAGGATCATCACCAATTAAACCAGGATCATCACCAATTAAACCACCACCATCATCGTCATCGCCAGGATCGTCATTTAGAAGAAGACTATGCGAAATGTTCCATTGTGGCCAGGCAGCCAGCCACCATCTGCAGCAGCGACAGCAGCGTTTCCGCGAGTTCAGCTGTGCCAGGAGTTCCACAATCTACATGACGAACACGAACACCAACAACAGCAACAACGCTCCTCTTACTACTAACAAGCACAGCGGTAAAGCTGCTGCTATTACTTCTACTACTTCTGCTACTAATAGCTGTAGTATTACTAACAATGCCACTGTGGATAGAGATAACGATGTGGAGAGGGAAGATTTTATGGGTGGTTTTCCTAAGAAGAGGACGTTAGCCAGTTGGTTCAACACTTTGAAAGATAACAATAAGAGGAGTGAGTGTTCTCTCAAGTTGTCTTTGATGTGATGAAGATGACGACGATGATGGTAATGCTGATGATGATAGTTGAAGTGAGGTTGATGACGACGGTAATGATGATGATGGTGATGACAGCAATAAACTTGATGCTGATGATGATGATGGTGGTGGTGTTGATGACGATGACAAAAAAATGATGATGATTGTGGTGATAAA